AGGAGGAGGAACAAGGAAAGGGCCCTCTGAGGTCTGTCTGAGTGACTGGTGGGATAAATCAATTTGTTATTTCATTTACTTTTTTTTTTTTTTTTTTAAATAGAGAAAGAGGGAGGCACATCTGATATGCTGGAGCCTGCTTGTACTGGCTCATGAGAGCTAATAGTTAAAGTTTCAGGAACTTTGTGAGCTGCTTGACATCACATTGGTAGCTTGAAATTCACATGGTGGGATTATTTACACCATGGAAATTGGCAAATGCTACAAATCAGAGACTCTCCTCCCTCCCCATGGAGTCGGTTAAACATTTACCAGCATACCACTACCACCTTGACAAGGCCGGCCCAGTGAATCCTCTGTTTTTGGGGTGTCTCCAGTTTACTGCATGGGAAGTGACATTGGCCTTTGTCTAGCTTTATCACTGCCTCTCTGTGGCCTCATTTACTACTCCCTAGGGGCCTCTGCTTTCCTAGCACCCTTCTCACGACCCCCAGCATGAAAGATTCTGCCTCCCCCTTGAGATTCTTCCAATTTTTGCCCCTCCCTGCCTCTAGCTGGAACACCCTCAGATGAGATGTTGGCCACTGACCCTCTGGGGCTAGCAAAGCTGACAGGCCCAGGAGACAAGGACCGAAGGAACAAGAGGAAGTGAGTGTGGGGATGGGGAGAGGGGGGAGGACTTACAGAGGTTCACATGCATTTTTTTAAACTTTTTGCCATATTTTTTACATTCATAAAAAGTGCTTTGGGAAGGGGTTGTAGTGAATGGGGCCATCCAGTAGGGCTGGGTGTCTCTACCCCTGAGATCTCCTGCTCTGGCCCCCTCTCCCCAGGCATGAACTTCTGGAAGAGGCCTGCCGCCAGGGCCTGCCCTTTGCTGCCTGGGATGGCCCCACCGTGGTCTCCTGGCTGGAGGTACTGGGGCCCAGTAATGCCCTGAGTCTTTATCCCCAACCCCTGTGACAGTCCTACTATTAAGGCTGCCTGGGTCTACCAGCACCATCCTCCTAGCCCAGATGTGGGGGTGTGGAGGGGTGAGGCTCTGAGAAGGGTCAGGCTTCCTGTTCTTTCTCCTTCTCCCCCACCCCTGCCCCCCTGGCCATGCCCTCCCTCCGGTCCTGGTCTCCTGTTGTCTCTCTCTGTCTCTCCCCATGTCTCTCTGTCTGGGATTCTCTATCTCTATTTTTCTGCCTCTTTCCCCAACCCTGTGTTTTTGTCATTGCTCGTATTTCTTCGCATGTCTCCGGGTCTTCATATATCTCTCTCCCAGTGTCTTTCCTTCCTTCTCTCCTCATGTCTATCTCTCATCTCTGGGTCTCTCCTCATCTCTGTCTCTCCCCACCCCTCACTTTCCCTTTTGACTCTGACATTACCCTTCACTGACTCTCTTCGTTCCCCAACTTCCCCTTTGACTCCCATGTCTCTTTGACTTGCCCTGTTTCTACTTACTGTGAACTTTCCATATCTGTTTCTCTCCCCCATGCCTTTCCCCATCTCTCTGTCTTCGTCTCTCTCTTTCCTTCTGTCTCTCTCCCATCTCTCTGGTTTCTCCTCTGATATTGTCTCTGTCTCTCCTCTTCCTTTGGCTGTCTATCTCCCCGCTCCCTTCCCTGGTCCAGCTGTGGGTAGGCATGCCTGCGTGGTATGTGGCCGCCTGCCGGGCCAATGTCAAGAGTGGCGCCATCATGGCCAACTTGTCAGACACGGAGATCCAGCGCGAGATTGGTATCAGCAACCCACTGCACCGGCTCAAACTGCGCCTTGCCATCCAGGAGATGGTCTCACTCACCTCACCCTCGGCTCCCGCCTCTTCCCGCACGGTGAGTGTTCAGTGGCCAATCCCAGCCTTGGCTGCCTCAGGGCTCCTCCTCTTGTCCTCAGACTAACCAATCCTGGGTCTGCTTTACTCCAGTTAGGTCTCATAGACCTATTCCCCATATGTCACCTGGATTATCTGGGGCGGGGGGAGGGTCTCTCCTCAGGTCTCCCTGCCTCCCCTGTACTCCCATTCCTCATTCTGTCTTACACATCGCAGCCAGACGGACTGTACCAGGAGAAAAAGCCAAATTCGTATGGTTCTCTTCAAGGCCCTTGATGAGGAGCCCACACCCACCTTCTTCCCTGACTGGGCTCCTTGGCGCCTGCTGCTCCCTTTGCCTGGAGCACCCCTCCCTATTTCCCCCAAGACTGGCTCCTTCTCATCCTCGAGGTCTCAGCTCAAATGTCACCACCTCCAAGTGGCCTCCCTAACGTAACAGCTAAACTGGAAACCCACCCATCACCCCAGTACATTAATACCTAATTATTCCCAGAGCATTTACTGCTTTCTAATAGTTTATCCTTTCCTTCCATACAGAAAATTATGTGTACCATGCGTAATTCAGCAATTATTAACCCTTTGCCATACTTGTTGTTTATGTGTGTGTGTGTGTTTGTGCCTGAAGCACCTCAATATAAGTTGCGGACATCATAACAAATTAGTCCTAAAAATTACTTCAGCAAGCATCCCCTAAAAATGAGAAGACTCCTACATAGCCACCACACCTTTATCATACCTAAGACGTTAACATTATTGTTAATTTCATCTACTATTCAGCTTATACTAAAATTTCCTCTTGCATATCCCAGACCCTACAACTGTGCCTACAACTCAGGAGGTGCAGCACATAAATGTTGGAATCAATGTATGAATTCCTAACTTGTGGGGTTGCTGGAAGCAGGTGCTAAATAAATGTGAATACACGTCCGCCTCCCCTCAAACATTTGCCCCATTATCTGCCACCTCACTCTGAATCCTCACTCTGTATACCTATGAGGTCTGAGAGGTGACATAATTGACTCAGGGCCACACGGCAAAATGCCCAGCAGGGCCTCAATTCACACCTCAATTTGTTCAACTCCCAAAGCCCATGTTGTGGTACACAGCAGGTGTTCAATAATGATCATTGCTTTCCTCCGTCACTGCCTGGCCCAAGCAGTGACCGGCCTTCCTGAGCCAGAAAGCAGTACGTATGTGTATAAATGTACATGGTCTGGGTCTCTAGGAGCATGACCCTCTTCCCCTGCCCTATTCAGAAGCCCTCTCTCACCCTCCATAATACCCCCGGTCCTTCAGTCCACAGGAAACGTGTGGATGACACATGAGGAGATGGAGTCCCTTACAGCCACGACTAAACCCGTGAGTGCCCCCTGCTGGCGGTCTTTGGGGTGGTACTAACTTCCTGGGGTGGGGCGTGGGGCGAGTCTGGCTGTCTGTCCGTCTGTTCGTCGCTCCAGCCGTCCTCCGCCTGCCCCATAACCTGCCCCTTCTCTCCCCTCTTCCCACTAACGGGTCAGGAGACCAAGGAGATCAGCTGGGAGCAGGTAGGGGGCGCGGGGCGGGACGTGGGCGCATGAACAGGCTATGCACGCTGCATGGACGCCCCTCCTTCTCCGAGCCCCGCCCCTACCCTCGCTGGAACATTCCATCATTACCGCGGGGCGCGGGGCGAGGGGGTTGCTGCGCGGAGCTCTGCTCTGGACTGTCTAGTTGTGGCTTGGTGGGGTCGGTGTAGAAGCCGGGTGGTTCCATTGTTAGCGTCGTGCACTGCCCATCCCATTATCGTGGGCTGCTGGGACTCCAGGGGCTGTTCCGTTGCTATAACTGAAGGGAGACGCTGAGGACCCCGTTTCCATCTGGTTTTAGGGGAAAGTGGCACTGTTCCAGTATATTGGGCAAAGGAGAAAACATTTGGGAGGGGGGCAGCACATCAGGGTGAGAAGTTAGGAAGGAGGAACTACATACTTTGTTCTCAAGAAGGGGAGGCGTGAACTCACCTGAAGTGGAAAAACTGTTGGACTGGGGCCTTCGTTTCCAATCGGGGAGGTATGGATTGTTTCCTTATGTTAAAGGCAGTGAAGGACTTTGGGCTGATCCAGAATATTGTCCTGGACCAGATACAACATTAGACTAGTGTATTCCAGACAGTGCAGGAGTGATGGATGGATCCATTAACTTTTGTTGCGAGGAGAGATAAGTTCGAAGAATCCATTGTCCTCACTTGTGGGAGTAGTGATGTTGGACTGATCTGTTCTGAGTTGAGACAATGCTAATTTAGTGCTTCTCAAACGTTAATGTACAGTTCAAGTCACCCGAGGACCTTGTGAAAATGCAGCTTCTGTTTCAGTAGCCTGGGGTGGGGTCTGAGATTCTGCAATTCCAGCAAATTCACAGGTGATGGTGATGCTGCAGGTCCAAGAACCACACTTTGAATAGACAAGGGATTATTGTTTCATTATGAAGAAGTAGGAAACAACTTTGCATTAGTCCACTGTCCTGAGCAGAGATTGGCTATGGTTGGGCTCTGGGGTGGAAAAAGAACAACCTTGGGTTGGGTGGGTTGGACTGTTCCCTTTCATACATACATGGGAAGGGGTCAGAGGGCCTGACCCCTCCCCCACCTGCCCATGGCCCCAGATCCTGGCATATGGCGACATGAACCACGAGTGGGTGGGAAACGACTGGCTGCCCAGCCTGGGGCTGCCTCAATACCGCAGCTACTTCATGGAGTCGCTGGTGGATGCCCGCATGTTAGATCATCTTAACAAGAAGGAGCTTCGGGGCCAACTCAAGATGGTGGACAGCTTCCACAGGTGGGGGCTGCCTGGCCAATGGGACAGTCCAAGGGGAAGCCCCACTCCTCTTTGGGACTGGTAATGGGAAATTCCTTGGACTATCTTTAGCCCTTTAGCTTTGATTCTCAGGAAATCCTGACTTCTGTGCCCCTTCCATCAATAAGATGGTCCACTAGGAAAAGTCCAAATCCTGAGACATCTTGGCTAGTTGACGCCACACCCCTTCCAGGTTAACCAATAGGAACTGCCTGTTGACCTACCCCAACTCCTGGGAAGGTCAGCAATTAGTAGAGCTGACCCAGTGGAACAACTCTCTGACCTCTCCCAGAAGAGCGCAGTCAATGGGGAGGGCCCAATAGGAGCAGCAGTCATGGGGGTGTGAAGGCTCATCTGCAATTCCACTTCCCCTGCTGCTCAGGGTGAGTCTGCATTATGGGATCATGTGCCTGAAAAGGCTCAACTATGACCGGAAAGACTTGGAGCGGAGGCGAGAAGAAAGTCAGACCCAGATCCGAGGTGAGTAGAAGAGCGTCAGAGTCCCGCTGGGAGCCAGGTGGAGGGGTTTGGGGAAGGGCTGGAGAAAGCTTGATTAAGAGAGGGAAGGGATGGCCAGTGCAGAAGAGCACAACCATAAACAATGGGGTGGAGACAGCATAGGCGGTGTGGCTAGGAAGGGAAAAGAGGGTGGAGGTATGGGCTAAACTGGACAGGCCTGCAGCTGAGGCTCCCTTCTGTCTCCAGACGTGATGGTGTGGTCCAATGAGCGGGTCATGGGTTGGGTGTCTGGGCTGGGCCTTAAGGAATTCGCCACAAATCTCACGGAAAGCGGGGTGCACGGGGCGCTGCTGGCCCTGGACGAGACTTTTGACTACTCCGACCTGGCCTTGCTCCTGCAGATCCCCACGCAGAATGCACAGGTAAGTTGCCGCTTGGCCTGGGGGATACTGGGCATCCCCACCTCGCAGACTGCACGCTGCAACCCCTCTTCCACTTCTCCTCCTCAGGCCCGGCAGCTTCTGGAAAAGGAATTTAGTAACCTCATCTCCTTGGGCACAGACAGGCGGCTGGACGAGGTGGGCGCAGCAGCAGCTCTGGAGGATCCGCTCCTAGCTGTACCTCGAGGGTCGGAGCTTAAGGGGTGGAGCTTGAGTTTGCCTTGAGTCGTGGTTGGAGGCGGGGCCAGGATGGGGGCGGGATTAAAGGAGAGACGCGAGCGGGGAGGGGTGGAGTCAAAGGAAGGGGCGGAATCAAAAACAGGAACCTAGTCCCTCACTGGCTGCCCGGCCCATGTACCTAGGACAGCGCCAAGTCCTTCAGCCGCTCCCCATCCTGGAGGAAGATGTTCCGAGAGAAGGACCTCCGAGGCGTAACCCCCGACTCAGCTGAGATGTTGCCCCCCAACTTTCGTTCGGCCGCAGCAGGGGCCCTGGGCTCGCCGGGGCTCCCTCTTCGCAAGCTGCAGCCGGAAGGTGGGCGGCTCCCCCAAGCAGCAGCCCTTCCTCCTTTCCCCTTCCTCGGAGTGGGAAAATGACCAGCTCAACATTCCAAAAGCCTCCCTCTCCAGGTTCTGAAATGGCCTAGTCCATTTTCCCCAACCCATTACAAATGGGCTGCTCCAATATGCCAAGTCTCTCCTTCAGGTGTGAAATGGATTAATCCCGCACCCCCTTTCCAGGGTGGGAAATGAACTTGCCCAGTGTCACTTAGGCACCTTGGTTGAGTCCAAGGCTGCGGGTAAGGGAGGGAAAACGGCATGGAGTCATGCTGTCTGTCATTTCGGAAGGGGAAATCCAAGGAAAGACGCTAGGAGTTGAGGATCAGAGAAACCCTGGAGGGACTGGGTGCGCGCGCGCGTTTGTGTGTGCGTGTGCGCGTGCGCTCCAAGCTGAACCGCTGGTCGCTCTCCCTCCAGGCCAGACTTCAGGGAGTTCCCGGGCAGACGGCGTTTCCGTCCGGACCTATTCCTGCTAGTGCAGGCCTCCAGGTGAGGACTGTACTGGGAGATCTTGGGGGTTCGGGGCGGCACAATGGATCTTCACTGCTCCACGTACTGCCCCGCGTCAATGCAGGTGACCTCATTCGGATGGAAGAATCTTCCAGAGGCTGGGCTGTTCCCCATCCTGACCAGAGTATGGTCTCGCCGGGGAGAGCGGGCGGGGGAGCACGCGCCGTGGACTGGACCATCTGTACAGACTAGCGGGGAGTGCGCGTTCCCGCCTCACAAATGGACTGGGCCTGGACCAAACCACATGAACTGGACCGAGAGGGGGAAAGAAGAGGGCAGGAAGAAATCCCGTCCCAAACTTCCGCCTTCCTTATCTCTACTTTGTAATTTATTGATCAATTTCCGATGAGAGATGGGTGCCCATTCCCCCGCGGGAAGGGGGCGGGGCTTCCCTCCAGGGCCGCATGCGAGGGGAGGCTGCCCCCTCTCCTTTCTCCTCCCCAGTTGCGGGGTCCAAGTCTTCCTTCTTCGTCCGAAAGGAGGGGAGGGGGGACTCGCTGCTACAAGCCTCGCCCCCTGTGCCACTCAGTCCCGCCCAGCCGCGTCCGGTCGCCGGTGCCCCAGGTCCGCTGTGGGCGGGGTCCCTTCTCCCTCCTCAGTGTCTCGTGTCCCCAGGGCCCCTCCGCCCCCCCGTGCTGTGGCCGTGGCCGTGTCCGTGCCCCGGGGGTAGGGGACGCAGAAATGCTCTCCCTGTTCCCCTCCGGCTCCGGGGTTTGCATGGGAGAATCCTCTTTCCACGATGCCGCTGGGCGACGTGGCGTGAGGGGAGGGAGGACGGTGGGGGAGTCTTTTCCCCCGACTCTTGGTCGGCCTCCCTGCCCCAGGCGTCACTCAGTGATCACGGGTAAAGAGAACTGTTTCAAAAAGCTCCCGTGTTGACTGATTTATTTGTCAGGACCTTAAGAAAGCAAACCAACTACGTCGAGGACCCAGGAGTCCAGGCCCCTCCTCCCTCGGTCCCACGAATTCAAGTCCCCAGTCCCCACCCGCGTTCCCCAGTGCCCTGAGAAGCCAGACTCCACGCTTGACAATGAGGTTCCGGGGAGCACGTTTTTTCAGATAAATAAATATGGTTTGTGGAAAGGGGTTGGAGGGCCAGGAAGGTATGTCTGTGCCGCAGCCGCGCGACTAGGTCAGGGTTCCGGAGTTTCCAGCATGTCCGCCAGGGCTCTGGAGAAGAGGACGCAGAGGTTAGATAACCGAAGTGTCCAGAGCTCACCCAGGGCGCTGAGAGATCGTTTTATCTACGGGGAAATGGAGCCCCAGGGTTGTCCGATAACTCAGCGGGACAGCGCCTCCCTAAACAGGACTCTTAAACTACCCCCTCCACACACTTACTGGTACAGGGACGAGGAGAAATAGTCGACGTAGCTTCCTGTGGGAGAGAAAAGAGAACAGGCTTGAGGGGTACTCCACGGGCGAAATTTCGAAACCACTTTTCAGAGTCCGGGATCAGGGCTAGCTCCGCCCTTCGCCTAATTCCTTCCCCTAGACGAATTCCTTCCACTGGGACTCCTTTGAAGGTCCCACTCGTTCCTCCTTGCTCTGGGTGTTCCTGGTCCTTCGAATTCTTCTTGCTTTGGCCCCGCTCACTTGGTTTTAGGCTCACCCCTCAACCCTGCACCTATTCTTGCCTTCTAGACTTCAGCATCTATCCCCAATCTTCTCTGCTCAGGCTCCGCCTCTCGGTGTTCACCCTACTCCACCCAGACTCTCAGCCTTGGCCACGCCTCCAAACCTAGCCCTGCCCCACAACCTCCCAGTCTTAAGATTTGGCCCTGCTCCCACCAGGTCTCGCATCACTGGGCCCTGCCCCTTCCTCAGGTTTCTTCTGAGCACTTCCACCACGCTCACCTGGAGTGCAGACAGTTTCGCAGACCAGCGGGCAGAGGTAGCAGAACTGGCAGTGCTGGGGGCGTGGATGGGGAGAGAGAATGAGCGATAGGACATGGTCAAGGGCAGACTCAGGATGGGGTCTCCAGCAGGAGGTTAGCTAGGTGGAGGTTAAGGTTAGAGACAGAATCAGGGGTGGAGTGAAGGCTGCATCAGAGGTAAGGGGTTCGAGAGCAGAGGCCAGGATTTAGGGCTGGAGGTGTTCAGATGGTCCCCATCCTGAGGCCGAGTGGAGCCTTGAGTCCCGGGGAGATGTCTCACCTGGCACTGGTCGCAGTGCTCTCCCATGTTCTCCTCATCACAGTGACAATTTTCACATTCAGTGCATCGCTGAGGACCGGAGGAGCCTAGTTAGACAAAACCTTAACCCCATTTGGGAGCCCCCCGCCCAGCCATTCCCGTCATCTACCCTGTCCCCAACTCCTCATCCTCATTACCTCCAACACTGAGTTCAGTATCTGCCCCCAAACCTACTTCTTGCTCAGTTTCCTATGACAGGGGACTCCACATCCCCCCATCACTGTGCGCTGGACTTGAAGTTGCACCCCCTTTTTTCTATTGTCCCCACAGCCTATCAATCTCCAGTCCCATCTTTCCCCTCACCCCCAATCTTTGTCAAGCACTTTCATCTTTCCCCACATCCACAGGTGCAGCTCAGGCCTCAATCTCTCCTTCCTGGACCATTGCCCCAGTCTCCTCCTTGGCTTCCTGGCTTCCAGTGTGTCCCCCATGTGGCCCCAGAAGTGTCTTTCTTCACCTGGAACTGCCCCTGCCCCTCATTTGCTCAGAGCCCTCCCAAGGCACCCCAGGGTCCTGGGACAAATTCCATGGACTGCCTGGTGGATGAACCTGGGCTGGGGACATACATTGCAGAAGGAGCAGTAGCCACACAGGGACCCTGGCTGGTAGTTCCCGTACTCTTGGGCATCCTGTGGACCTGTGGGGACAGGAGGGCAGCAGTGACCTAGATTGATTCGGTTCCTCCCCGCCCCCACCGGGCCAGATCACTTACCAGTGTCCTCACCACTCTCCTCGCTGGAGCCGCCTTCAGCTACCTCCCTCTCAGCCAGTGTGTCGGGGATGATGGTGAAGGGGAGCTCGTCTTCCTCCAGCCCCTCCTCATCCTCTTTTTCCTCTTGGTGGTCTTGACTCAGTGGGGCCTGAACCTCAGGCCTCTCTTCCCTCCTCTCTTCCTCTTCTTCCTCCTCCTCTTCATCGTCTTCTTCATCTTCTTCATGGCTCAGGCTGAGGCCATGACCTTCCTCCTCATCTTCCTCATCCTGGTCCAGGCTGCCATAGTGGGTACCTTCTCCCTGCTCTGAACCTTCATCATCTTCCTCATGGGAGCTGTGTTCTTCTTCCTTCTTCTCTTCTTCTTCCTCAGAATCTCTCTCCCCCAAATAGCTTATATCCTTGACCCCTATGTGTTCTGGGGGCTGGGGGCTAATCTCTTTGATGGACACTCCGTGGCCAGTCCCTTCATCTCTCTGGCCTTGTTGACTGGGAACTTGGTGGCTAAGCTTGACAGAGATGTCCTCATCTTCCTCCTTGGGGACTTCATGGTGGTGATGGCCAAAGACTTCTGTTTTATACTCATCTAGGAAGTCCTCCTCCTCAGCACTCTTGTGGCTTTGAGGTTGGTGGCTTGCAACATGGTGGCTGAACTTGACTGTGATCTCGTCCTCCTCATCTCCAAGGCTGTCGTGGGTATGTCTGGGAACTTGGTACCAATGTTCAGTGGACACATCCTCATCCTCATCTTCCTTGTCTCCATGGCCTAGATGACCGTGGCTGGGGACATGATGGCGGTGTTCATCTGAGACATCATCCTCTTCCTTCCCGTGGCCTTGATGCCTGTGTGCCAGGTGTCTGTGCTCAGTGGAGACATCGTCATCCTCCTCCTCCTCCTCCTCCTCATCTTCTTCTTTGTGGCCTTGGTGTCCATGGCCGGGGACATGATGGTGATGTTCATCTGAGACCTCTTCATCCTCTTCCTTTCCGTGATCTTGGTGCCTGTGGGCCTGGTGTCCATACTCATTGGAGACATCATCATTTTCTTCTTCTTTGTGACCTCGGTACCTGTGGGCCTGGAGTCCATACTCAGTAGAAACACCCTCCTCCTCACCTTCTTCATCATCTTCTTCTCCATGGCCTCGGTGTACATGCCTGATGATATGATGTTGATACTCACTGGACACAACTTCGTTTTCATCCACCTCTTGATGGCTGTGGCTTCTGTGGCTGGGGAAGTGGTGTCCATGTTCAGCTGAATCGTCCATGTCTTCATTCCTATGGCCTCTGTTCCCATGGGCCTGCCGAGCATATTCTGTGAAGACCTCCTCATCAGAGATGTTCTCATCTCCAACCTCATCGCCTTGGTACATGTGGCCTTGGAGTTGGTGACTGTATTCCCTGGAGACATCGTCCTCTTCTCCACGGTCGCTATGGCTCCAAAATTGATGCCCACTTTCTGTGGAAACATCCTCGTTCTCATCTCTATGGCCTCTGTGGCTGTGGATGGGGTAACCAAACTCACCTGATGCGTCCTCTGAGGGCCCCGCGACTCCTGCATTGTTGTTCCAGTTGCTGGGGCTGGGCCCAGCCCCTCTCAGCTGCTGGGTCATGGCTGGGGGGAGGAGCAGGCTGGCCACGGCAACCCAGAGGAGAGAAGTGTGCAGCCATGGCCCATGGTGGCCCATGGGGACAGACAGGTAGCAGACCTTCTTGTAGGCTGGCTCCAGCTGCCACTTGTGGCTATGTGGATGAATGTTGGGGGTCCTTGTCTCTTTTTGGATCTTTCTCTCTGTGTCTTTCCTTCGCTGTGTGTCTCTATCTTTGCCCGTCTGCCTTCCTCTGGACACCCCTCTGAGGCAGTCTCAGGAGCCCCCTGACCCCCCTCTCGGGCCCTCCCTCCCACTTCCCAGCCAATAGGGTCTCTCCCCTCCCCTCTCTGTAGCTAAATTTACTCTCAGCCCTGAGTTATTCTGGGTCAGTCCCTCCTGCCCTTCCCCTCCTGCTCCTCCTCCTCTCAGCTGGGGAGGGCTGGGTAAAGGGGTCTCTCCTTGGCCAGGACAGGGGATTCTGAGGGACTTGATTTTGGACTGCCAACAAGTTCATGTTTGGCAGCTGCAAAGACAATGGCTAGACTTTTCGTGGGACAAGTTGGGGGAGCCTGGGGCAGCTGGGGGCAGGAGGGATGTATGTGAAGGGTGAGAATCCTGCCATGGAAGGATTGGCGGTTAGATTATGGGGGGTTTCTGGCAAGAATGGGATACTTGGCTGAAAGAGTGGATGCTAATATGGAGGCCTTGGAGAGGGGCAAAAGGAACCCTGCTCCCAGCACATATACCCATGACCTCCTGTCCCTGGAACTCAGATCTGGGGGCAGGGGACTGGGCCAGGCCAGGGCTATAAATACAGGAAGGGGGGTGGGGGGCTCAGGTTACCCAGAGGCTGCAGCTGTCCCTGTCAGAGAGAGATGGCAAAGGACATGTGGCCTTGCCTGTCTATGTGTCAATGTCTCCCACTCCTCATCCTGTCACTATTGCTCTTTGGGTCCCTATTCTTTATGAGTCTCTCTCTCTCTCTCTCTCTCTCTCTCTCTCTCTCTCTCTCTCTCTC